ATATATATATATATATATATATAGAGAGAGAGAGTGTTTTCATTGAATTTCTATACACCCACCATGCTTTACAATCATGAGGGGATCTCTCTTCAACCACCACGCTATTACAAGAGAATATTTATAATCACAGCATGTTGGACGTGATCCTTGTGTTATAAAGAGGAGCGATTTTTAAACTAAATTCAAATACTTGCCTTTCATTGAGGCGGTGGATATAGGCTAAGCAACTATTTCGAAAGTGAATCCCGTATTTATATGAGGGATGTGGAATATATTGATTTGAGCATCCATAAACAACACAAAACACAGGCATTTTGAGTTTCTGCTAGTGATTCCTATGGAGAGAAATCACTTCCTGCCCTCCAGCGGCATTTCGCGCGTCATCAGAATCACGTGATTGCAAACAACCTATAGTTCCAAACAAATCCGCGCTGTCAATATGATTGAATGGGTTTAAGTAGGATAGACAGCAGTTTTACTATATTTGCAGCAATTTCTAGTGATTATTAACACATCATGTGCATTGATTGTGTATTGATAACTACGCTGACTACGTTTTACAATCGCATTTTATTCTGGGGAGTGATGAAGAGACAGCATTAATTTTTTTTTCTAATATGCTTATTATTTATATTACAATTAGCGTAGTATTTAGGGTTAAAATAGAGAAAATGTTTTTAAATTCCGGTGCAAAGAGGCAAATTAGAGGCGTTTGGTGGCCAGAAAAAATAATATTCATATGTAATGCCATGGTTTAACCACTAGATGCCCGTATGGCTGTTCAATAAATATAGCCTACATATATTTAGCTCTACTCTAGTTGCTGTAAAGAGTTTTGCTGGTCTTAATTGCTTATTTATTTATTTATTTTATGTTTTGCATTGTATATTTAGACATTAACAAACACTCAATATTTATAAGTTTTGCTTTTTTTAAAATGTTGAATTTAAAAAGATGAATTACTCACATCCCAGTATTATTTTATGACATTTATGTAAGAAGACAATATAAGCGAATGTAAAAAAAAAAAAAGGCCAGCAAATACAGAACTTTTATCCAATAAAAAAATGTAATAACGGTAAAAAAAAAAAAGGCAACCAACTGCATTCAGGGAAACTCTTTCTTGTATTCCTTTAATGGGCAGTCTTTACTAAAACTCATTCAACGTCCTACAGGGAGAGTCTTTTTAAGACTAAAAACTTAAAAATATGACAACTAGCATCTGGTTATGTTCGCTATTAAGGTGTTTCTAACGTTATCTAACTGCAAATATAGCATAACTGCCTATTATCTAAAACTAAACATTAACTATAAAGCGTTTCATAAAATACAACTACTGGCCAGATTTCCAACGTCAACTAATGCGTTAAAATGCCAAAAACTGCTGTAATTTCCTCAGCTTTCTGGCGAGTGTGCTTGAGAAGCACATTGTGCGTGTAAATTAGCACCGGTTGTTGTTTTCTTGTGGTACGACATAGAGCGTTTGGACCCGGAACGGTGATGCGTAACGTCAGACTTAACAAGCGGATAGGCTTTTTTGGACTTGTCTTTTCCACTTAATTTGACATTTTAGAAAGTTAATAAAGCGAACAGTTACAGTTTATGGTCAGCGATATCCTTATCTTATTTGCTAATTATTTGAAATAATTTTGGTTTATTTATTATTTATTTTTCGGTTTTTATTTGTTTATATAGCAATATATGGCAACACTGCATCACCGACACTTAAACTGACAGTAATCAAAAAAGCTTATGGACAGGTTATTGCTGACAGGATACCACATTCGGTATGGCAAACGCAAAAAAAAAAAAACAATTATATTATCTATTAGAAATGTTATCAATGCTATCAAAAACAGTAGCATTTAACACTGGTACACAGATCTGTAGAAGAAGTAGGTTAAGGAATGAAATGAAATACACAAACCCTAGCCATGCTTTTTCATTCAGTAGCCTGAAATGGGGGGATGGGGTTGGGGCAGTTGGTACTACCTCCCTGAAAATAGTTTTTACAGGGTGGGATGTCTGCCTTGTGCATAGAAAAAAAATCACTGGACTATTATAATGAATACCAAAATTGATGAAATGTAAAGTGATAGCCCTATTTCAAACCAAACTGGTACACTGATGCAAGCTATATAAATAACTGTCCTAAAACAATTGTTCTTTTTCACATTACTCTGCAAATTAACAAAATTGATCTATGACATCATTGTTAAATATGTTTTTCAATCATCCTAGCTGCAAACATCAGCGCAGCAGTTTTACCAACTTTGTCACGTGATGACATTCGTGATCTTTTCCCCGGACCAGAAAACTTTTTACGACGGAAAACCATATGGGAGACGTTTCATACTGACAAGGAGGTAGACCTTTACTCCATTTTTCCAAAGAACAGTATTAATTTCCATAATCTATTAGTGTCAGAAAAATGTAAGGTTATGTACAGCAATGTTTAGGTAATTTACAAACAATCGCACTACATATCTTAATTTATAATGGGTTGTTTGAATAACAGTCACTGATCTATATAAATGACTGGATTGCTCATTGCGTTCTAAACTGGCATCAGGTAGTGAAGCTTCCGGAAGTGTCCGAGCGGCCATCCTACTATTCCCTACCGACAGAGGGCATCATTGACTTGCAGCCAAAATATTGACCTAAAATCACCTGATTTGCAACGTATCAGTCTCACACGATTAGTTTTATGATATACAGTATGTATGTAAATTAATTGTCACTTCAAATGTTATCTGTAACGTTTATGGTCTTTTCGGAGAGGATAAGTCATATAATGAAATTGTTAATGTGGGTGTATCTACTGCACACTTTCGACAAAAATATTTTTCTTTAGAAATGTAATTATGGAGGAAATATTAAACATGAACATATATCTGTGTTTAGTTGCAGAAATTGATTTGAATAGCCTATACATTAAATATTAATACAAGCCTCTGTTACTATATTGCACTATATTGTATTAAAATTCTAAGTTTACCATGCATCATCTTGGAAATAAAGCAGCCGAGCTGATGTTCACTACTGTAATGAATATGAACATAATTTTTGAATAAGCGGGGAATTCCCAACTTTAAACAAATAAATAATTTACATGCTTAGGACATTTGCATTGTAAGAATGTACAGAGAGACTTCAGATATAAAAACAGTGTCTCGTTAAGGCAATGTTTTCTCAGTAAAATAATTTAATTTCCTATTAATTCAATAGAACTCGTGAGCTTACTAGGTAATACCAATATAGTGGCGCAGTGGCTTCACTTTTTATGACGACATGAGCAATCCAGTTCTATAGATCAGTGGTAACAGTTAGTTTCCTACAGTAAGTAACCAAATGCTTCTTTATATAAATCAGTGAGTTTTAATTATTATTAATGGGTGTTTTGTTTTATATAAATTGTAATAACTTTCATCTGAATTCAGCAGGGACATGAGGCAGGATGCCCCAAACAAAACAAGGAGCAGGATGACATTGGTCTGGCTCTTGCTCAAACTCTGTCTAAAATCCCAGTGACTACAAGGCGCAGTATCTCTGAAGAGACAAGTGGTCATAATACAATGGATCCTCCAAGAACCTTGCAGTTGCCCAACCCTGAATATGTTGTTTACACTGACAGCGAGCTAGAATGTGTTAGAAAGGAGTATTTTGATCTGCAGCGAGTTGGACAAGAAAGAGGTTGCAGACTTTCAAAAGAACTTCGTTGTCGACTAGTGAGGAACACAGTGACCAACATGGTGTCTATCATGAGAGCATCAAGCACTGACTTTATGTATCCATCCAAAAATGATGTCTTTGCAATGGCAAAGCGACTGGTAGAATATTATCCCATGCTTCGAGATGACTCTGTGAACTGCAAACATAATTCGATAAGTGTTTAAGGGCTTGGGATTCAAAAATAACATTTGAGGGCACTTCATACATCATATATTGTGTGTACATTTAGGAGGTACTTAATAAGAACTGATAATGAAAGCATTGAGAATTAAACCATTTGATATATTCATTTGAATGTGTCTGGTTGTACAACTTTTAACGTCATCTTTGAACAGGATTCCATCTTCAAGCAATTAATGAAGAGACTCCACAACATAAGAACCCCAAAGCAGAAACAGGGTCCAACACCACAACGAAGAAAGAAAAGGCGTTTGGATTTTGAGGACTACGATGGTGATTCAAGCTCTTGCACATTAGATTCAGCAGAAAGCAGCAATGCTTCAGCTGTAATGTTGGACACAGGAGAGAGTAGCACACCACCACCATCAGTGAGCACAAAACCACTTGCTGGTAAGTGTACCACATGTTCAGAATATACTTTAAAAAAACTTTGTGAACCAAAAGGTTCCCAGCAAGCAATGGCCGTCATTTCACCATCTCCGTTAACTATAGATCCAATATAGTCTGGTTATGAGTAACCTACTTGTAGCCAAAATAACTTTAAATTTGGTTACATATCGTTTTTGCCAAAATAACTTGCAAGATGTTCAATATTCCATCATGTAAGCAAAGTCAACAGTGATTACAAGGTGTTTGGTTTAATTTCTTTGATATGTTATCTAACTGATGACTAGTCTATTCTTGGGCTATGGTTTAGACTTCTATTAAATTTTCACAGCCCAAATTTTGTTTTAGCCTAGACGTTAGAGCTGTGTTTGGACTAGGGTTGTAATGATATAACAATCACGGTTTGAACGTGCACGGTTATCATACCGTAAACATTCGCATATCTACGGTTTAAAAAAAAAAAAGAATGAAAAAATAAAATCTCACCCGCGCATATGCAACTTATTTCCGCTCGGCTGCTTCACTCTGCATTCACTTGGCTGCTTACATGCACATACAGTGGAGAAAATGGCAGAGACAGAGATTATATCTAATCTCCATCCCCGCCGAAAAAAAAGTTAATATCTGCAGTATGCATGGGAATAATTCGGATATTTAAAAAAACGAACGCGGGGTTGTCCTTGGTGACGGACCCAATTTGCAAAAAATGTGGATGCAAAGTGGCTGCAAAATCAGGCAATACATCCAACATCTTCGCATCCAACACCATCCCTCCATGCAGATAAAGGTGTGTCGCATTTATAAAAAGTTATAAATTAAGGCCTTATGATTTCTGTGATGCAGAGGAAATCCCGGTGCAGTCGTGAACATGGAATTTACAGACGATTATCATACCATGAAAATCTCATACCGTTACAACCCTAGTTTGGACCGGAATTAGATGCCTTTTAAACGAAAAATTGCTTACTGTGTTTATGCTGGTTTCTTTTTTCTTTGTTGATAAGGAGGAACAGTTGAACAAGATATACCATTCAGTCAGGCTGACCACAGAAGAGATGAAGACCATTCTGACACTGGTAGTCAACAAAGCCAGGCCAGACATTACCATACCCTCCAAGAGATCTATAAAAGACCAAAGCCTAACAAGGAAGCAGTTGCTCAACTACTTGACCTTGAGTTTGATGCTCGGAGAGCCTTCATCAACTCGGACTGTTTCAAGGATCAGGACAGACCTTCAAAGATACTGCAAGCTTACCCCTGTTTCAGGGAACTACATCATGTAAATAATATATCTGATAATATATTCTAGTTCCTAGTGACTTCAATTGTTTTTACAAATGTGTATGTGTGGGATTATTCCAGGTGATGGATGAACTCGGCAGGATTCTTGACAAAGGTAACCCCAGATTCATCCCAAAACTAAAGGCCTGTTGGGAGAGCTTCTACAGCAAAGCTCAATTCTATGGGGTTTACAAAAAGGTTTTGAAGCCACCAATGACACTAGATGGAGGTAAACTACCTGCCTTAACTATTGTTTGATTTTTCACATTTGAAGTCAAGTAGTAAAGTTTTACTTGCTTGTCAGTGTCATACACTACCATTCAAAAGTTTCAGAAAGTTAAATTGCTTAAAAATAAATGTATTCTCCTCACCAAGGCTGCATTTATTTGATCCAAAAAACAGCGAAACAGTAATATTGCAGTTGTATTACAATTTAAAATAACTTTTCTATGTGAATATGTGTTAAACTGTAATGTATTTCTGTGATGCGCAGCTGTATTTTCAGCATCATTACTCCAGTCTTCAGTGTCACATGATCTTCAGAAATCACACAGGAGAGAGTAGCACACCACCACCATCAGTGAGCACAAAACCACTTGCTGGTAAGTGTACCACATGTTCAGAATATACTTTAAAAAAACTTTGTGAACCAAAAGGTTCCCAGCAAGCAATGGCCGTCATTTCACCATCTCCGTTAACTATAGATCCAATATAGTCTGGTTATGAGTAACCTACTTGTAGCCAAAATAACTTTAAATTTGGTTACATATCGTTTTTGCCAAAATAACTTGCAAGATGTTCAATATTCCATCATGTAAGCAAAGTCAACAGTGATTACAAGGTGTTTGGTTTAATTTCTTTGATATGTTATCTAACTGATGACTAGTCTATTCTTGGGCTATGGTTTAGACTTCTATTAAATTTTCACAGCCCAAATTTTGTTTTAGCCTAGACGTTAGAGCTGTGTTTGGACTAGGGTTGTAATGATATAACAATCACGGTTTGAACGTGCACGGTTATCATACCGTAAACATTCGCATATCTACGGTTTAAAAAAAAAAAAGAATGAAAAAATAAAATCTCACCCGCGCATATGCAACTTATTTCCGCTCGGCTGCTTCACTCTGCATTCACTTGGCTGCTTACATGCACATACAGTGGAGAAAATGGCAGAGACAGAGATTATATCTAATCTCCATCCCCGCCGAAAAAAAAGTTAATATCTGCAGTATGCATGGGAATAATTCGGATATTTAAAAAAACGAACGCGGGGTTGTCCTTGGTGACGGACCCAATTTGCAAAAAATGTGGATGCAAAGTGGCTGCAAAATCAGGCAATACATCCAACATCTTCGCATCCAACACCATCCCTCCATGCAGATAAAGGTGTGTCGCATTTATAAAAAGTTATAAATTAAGGCCTTATGATTTCTGTGATGCAGAGGAAATCCCGGTGCAGTCGTGAACATGGAATTTACAGACGATTATCATACCATGAAAATCTCATACCGTTACAACCCTAGTTTGGACCGGAATTAGATGCCTTTTAAACGAAAAATTGCTTACTGTGTTTATGCTGGTTTCTTTTTTCTTTGTTGATAAGGAGGAACAGTTGAACAAGATATACCATTCAGTCAGGCTGACCACAGAAGAGATGAAGACCATTCTGACACTGGTAGTCAACAAAGCCAGGCCAGACATTACCATACCCTCCAAGAGATCTATAAAAGACCAAAGCCTAACAAGGAAGCAGTTGCTCAACTACTTGACCTTGAGTTTGATGCTCGGAGAGCCTTCATCAACTCGGACTGTTTCAAGGATCAGGACAGACCTTCAAAGATACTGCAAGCTTACCCCTGTTTCAGGGAACTACATCATGTAAATAATATATCTGATAATATATTCTAGTTCCTAGTGACTTCAATTGTTTTTACAAATGTGTATGTGTGGGATTATTCCAGGTGATGGATGAACTCGGCCGGATTCTTGACAAAGGTAACCCCAGATTCATCCCAAAACTAAAGGCCCGTTGGGAGAGCTTCTACAGCAAAGCTCAATTCTATGGGGTTTACAAAAAGGTTTTGAAGCCACCAATGACACTAGATGGAGGTAAACTACCTGCCTTAACTATTGTTTGATTTTTCACATTTGAAGTCAAGTAGTAAAGTTTTACTTGCTTGTCAGTGTCATACACTACCATTCAAAAGTTTCAGAAAGTTAAATTGCTTAAAAATAAATGTATTCTCCTCACCAAGGCTGCATTTATTTGATCCAAAAAACAGCGAAACAGTAATATTGCAGTTGTATTACAATTTAAAATAACTTTTCTATGTGAATATGTGTTAAACTGTAATGTATTTCACAATTCCGTGCAACGGTCAGTAAGCAAATACATGTACAGAAACAGAATCATTAAGGCTCGGCCAGTTCACAAGGCAAAAGAAAAAACCTTACCAGTTATGAAAGTTTATGAAACATCAGGTGCAGCGGTCACATAAATTCTGCAGAGTTTTTGAATGGTTGTATAGCCTACGACAAGACGATAATTCTTCCATCATGCAAATTATGGTCATTTTCGTCAGTTAAGGCTCGTTAGCATTCGGCCTGCTTTAAATCAGATACAGAGATGCAGTGCTGTAAGATCGCATTTATTTGAATTAATGAAGCTAATTATATCATTTATTTGAATTAGCGCGCGCGAAAGAGAAAGAGAGAGATGAAAGTTGCATGTGAACCTGCGTCTGCGCGTCTCTCTCTACAAGCAATGAGGCTTAGTTCCTTCAAAAGCAGCGATTTTACCCCCTCATTGCAGAGAAATATAACGTTGCGAGTCAGTAGCCAACTTAATCCTAACTGCAGATGGTGCTGTTACTGCTAGACCTTATTGCTACGTTTGATATTGATATTGAGACAAGTAATACATTATAAACAATCATTAGCTAAATCCTGAATGTATTTACCTCAAGCTGATGTGGTTCTTCACGCTTTCTTAATGACCTGTAGCACCTGGCCCTAATTACCACTTTCCCTAAAATAATGTTTGAGACTGAAGTGTCCAAACACACACACAAACAGTTATTAATGGGACATTTTTATTATTATTATTATTATACCAC